TATAATTAATAGAATAATATGATATTTGAATATTAAATTGTTGTGTTGTAAAGGAGCTGTGTAAAAAGAAAAAGTGAAAAACAAATAAATTCTTCATCTTTCCTGGGCACAGAATCTCATTATACAATATAATATAATACCCAGGTTCAATATAATATTTCAATCTTGACACACAAATTCCATAGCTGAATAAAATGTTTTGCAGATTAATGACATATCAATAAAAGCAGAATTAACTAAAAAAAAAGAAAACATTCTTCTATGAAAAAACAATATATTTATTTGAAAATACATAAAATTTAACATTAGTTAAGAATTTATATTTAAGAAAATAACATAATATTATTGCTTAATGTATTGGACACGTATTTCAATTTATTATGACACTTTATTATCGTGAGAATAATTTGTAAAACTCGAAACGTGATGTATTTCCTAAGTAACAGTAGTATGAATTGTATTTCACAGCTGACCTTTGTATATTTTTACACCTGAAATATTAAGAATATTTTTGTTAAAATTTCAATCAGAAATCAAATTTAAAATTTTGACTACCTGAAATAAACTATAGACTAAGCAAATGATTTGGAAATTTCTTTTCTTTCCATGTTTAATACAAAATAACTTCACCTCCAACAACTGGACTGAATAGTCATGAAACTTTATAAATACTGACTATAAATCTATAACAATGTGTTTTATATTATTCATTGTAGAGTATGTAACACTTTGGTTTTAAAGATATATTTGCTTGTATTTCTGTTTTATCTTCATAGGTAATGATTGTTAGGAAAATTGTTTTAAAGCCTATTATATTTTTATCATTTATAGTTTGGTTGTTACAAAGGAAACAGATAGTGCAAGATCTCGAAGTGCTCCAATGTCACCTTCTGACTTCCTGGATAAATTAATGGGAAGGACATCAGGATATGATGCAAGAATCAGGCCTAATTTTAAAGGTAATTATTCTATTTAGTACCCAGATAAATCTAATTTATACAGAAAGTCATCTGTTGTTAATATATTTAAACAAGAAAAAAAAAATGTTTACTTTTTTTTCTATCCTCAATTCTAATGCTTATTTCTTAAAATCTTCCAAATACTGTATTTGTCACAGATAAGTCTTGGGAAGAAAATCTATTACCATAGTCATAGCTTCACAATTTATTTTCTTTGCACCAACAGTATTTGAGATGGCTTTTTGTTGTTTGTTTTGTTTTGTTTTTCCTCTATATCTTCTCTATTAAAATACTTATTGTTTTTATCAGGCATACACACACACATGATTTAATTTAGTTATTCAGTGTCTCATATCACTAATTACAATGGTAACATTTTTTATGCTAGCAATAAATCTTCCCACATTTTAGATTAACCATAGTACATAGTTGTTGGTTTTAAGTGCTTTTGAGTCAGTTAGCAGTGGTATAAAAATTAACTAGAGTGGAGTAGTAAGTACAAAGGGTGGTGGTTAGTTATGTGTCATGATAGTCAAAAAATAAAAAGTTGTTAGTCATTTATGAGAGGAAACTTGCATATTACTTCAATTATTAAATGACTTTAACACTTTTGTATTGCATTCCCTGTTCTTTGTTTAATTCTAAGATTGTAATGATTTCCTCACAATTCTCTTCTATCTATACCATTTTGCTGTTGTTAAATGTCATCAAATCGGTTCCCACACATGGTAACCCTGGTTAGGGTTTCCAAGAAGCAGCTGGTGAGTTTGAATCTCCACCTTGCAGTTCTAACAGACCTTTTATTCTAGTGCTTATCCTACAGTGCCACACCAGGTTGAATGTAACATTATGGCGATTGCATAACGGGCTATTAGGAAATATTTACTCGAAAACACTGAACTACAACAAGGAGAACAACAGTATCAATAAAAGTGTTTTTTGTTGTTGTTGTTCTTATTACTTATTAAAAATAGTAAAAATTAAATTATAATTTTGGCACAGGACTATTAACCATGAGGTAAGTGGCTCAAAACCACCAGCTGTTCCTCTGAAACTGTATACAGTGTTGCTATTAACCAATGAAGGAGCTCTAGTAGCATAGTGGTTACGAATCAGGCTGCTAACCTCAAGGTCAGAAGTTCAAAACTGCCAGCCATTCTGTGGGAGAAAGATGAGGCTTTCTGCTTGCATAAAGATTTACAGCCTCAGAAACCCTGTACAGGGTCGCTATGAGTCGGAACCTACTCCACGGTATTTAACAACAACAACAACATGAATCAATGGCACTTAACAACAACAATTTGTAGTCTATTTTGTATGGAAATATGTACATTTTCTTTATCAAAATATTGGTTATATTGGAATTACTTTATTCTCTGAACTTACTCTCCAAAGTATCTTTTACTCTGTCTTCTGTATCTATCATTTTTCACCTTATATTTTTTCTCCTTAGTTCTTTCCATAAACATTTTTGGAAGAAATGTCCAAAATTGTGCTCTAAATAAGTGACTTTATACTATATGGTAAACTGTGTACTTTTTTTTTTTTTTACTGTTTACAATTGTTGAGTGCCTTTGAGTCTGTCTGACCCATAGATACCATATATAGAGTTTCTGAGGATAGACTGGTGTGTTTGAAGTGCAGATATTGTGGTTAGTAAGCAGATGCTTAACCTACAGTGCCACACCACACTATATATAATGGAGGGAAAATTAAAACAGGATTTGATTTCTTCACAAAACTAATTGTCAATAGAGAGTGAAAAAAAATCTACAAACTCTTGAGCTAAAATGTTGTCGTTTGGTAATTTGTAAAGTTTCTTTCATGTCAAATAGGTAATGAATAGATTATTAGACAAACTATAGTGAGAAAATATATAATTCATCATATTGTCTTGAAAAATAAATATATAAATGAAAGTATTTTATTAGACTTTTGTGGAGTTTTGAAAGTTAACACCTAAAGAATACATAGGATATATGTATTCTTTAGGTGTTATGTATGGTGGCGTTGCAGATTAGTATATTGCTAATTGCAATAAGCCTATATATATATCACAAACGTGTGTAAGTCAATAAATATTGCTACTAGGCTTCAAGTTCATACTTGCCTGGTTTTTTTCCTTACAAGACATGTCTAAATATGCCTCTGTAATCAGTGCATGGTTGCAAACAAGTACTCTCGGTGATCCACTTGCTTTAGTCTCCTTGTTGTTAAGGACCATCGACTCAGTGCTGACTCATGGTTACCCTGTATGGGGTTTCCAAGGAGCAGCTGGTGGATTTGAACTGCCAACCTCGTATTTAGCAGTCCAGTGTGTATTTTACAGCACTCTACAAGAATTCTGTAGTTGCTGTTGTTGTTGTTGTTGTTGTTAAGTGCCGTCGAGTCGGCTCCGACCCATAGCGACCCTGTACAGGGTTTCCGAGGGTGTAAATCCTTACGGGAGTAGAAAGCCTCATCTTTCTCCCACGGAGCGGCTGGTAGTTTCGAACCGCTGACCTTAAGGTTCGCAGCCTGATTCGTAACCACTTCTGATTCATAGCAATCCTATATAGGGTTTCTGAGGACCAGCTAGTTTTAGTGAACTTGAACCACCGACCGTGCTGTTCAAAGCAATTTTGCAGTCCAATGCATTAACCTGCAGCACCACACCAAGACTCCTAGGACTCCAGTGGTGGTGCTTAAGTGCTGAGGAGTTAGTTCCGACTCACAGCAACACTGTATAGGGTTTCTGAGGCTGTAAATCTCTACCGTAGCAGAAAGCCTTATCTTTCTCCCACGGAACAGCTGGTAGTTAGTGTCTAACTGCTGATCTTGAGGTTGGCAGCCCAACTAGTAGCTACTACACTACCAGAGCTCCTTAATATTTCATTAGGGTGACTTTGGGACACCCTAAGGGACTCTATTGTTGTTGTTGTTGTGAAGTGCCATTGAGTCCGTTCTGACCTATAGTGACCCTGTGTAGGATTTCCAAGGAGTAGCTGCTGAGCTTAAACCTCTGACCTTGTAGTTCAAACGGCTTTGCAGTCTGGAGCATTATTTCAGAGCAACACATCAGGACTCCAAAGGACTCCATTGTTCTTGTTGTTAAGTGCTATTGAGTTGATTCCTACCCATAGGGAATCTGTATAGGGTTTTCAAGAAACAACTGGTGAGCTGAACCACCCACCTTGCAGTTCAAATGGCTATGCAGTCTGGCACATTAACCCACAGCATCATACTAGGACTCCACAAAGGACTGATTGTTGTTATTTTTGTTAGGTTCCATGGAGTCAGTACCGATTCATAGTGACCTTATGCACAGCAGAACAAAACACTGCCCCATCCTGGGCCAACTTCACTACTGTTGCAATACTTGAGTCCATCGATGCTGCCACTAAGCCAGTTCATCTTGTTAGGGGTCTTCCTCTTTTTCTCTGACCCTCCTCCTTACCAAACATGATATCCTTCTCCAGTGACTGGTCCCTCCTGACAATATGTCTGAAGTGAGAAACAAAGTTTGGCCATCTTGGCCTCCAAGAACTACTCTGGCTGCACTTCTTCAGAAATGGATCTATTGGTTCTTTTGGCAGCCCATGGCACTTTTAATATTCACCTCCAAAACCATAACTTAAAAACATCAAGTCTTCTACGGTCTTCCTTATTTACTATCCAGCTTTCACATGCATACGAGGTAATTGAAAATACCATGGCTGGGGTCCGGCGCACCTTATTCCTCAAGCTGACATCTTTGCACTTCAACACTTTAAAAAGGTCTTGTTAGGTCTGCCTAATGCAATATGTCATTTCATTTCTCGACTGTTGCATCCACAAGTGTTGATAGTTGATCCAAGAAGAATGAAGTCCTTGATAACTTCAATCTTTTCTCCATTGATAAGAATGTTGTTCCACTGGTGAGGATTTTTGTTTTCTTTATATTGAGATGCAATCCATACCGAAGGCTGTGCTCTTTGATCTTCATCAGTAAATGTTTTAAGTCCTCTTCACTTTCAGCAAGCAAGGTTATATCATCTGCATATCCCAGGTTTGTAAAGAGTCTTCCTCCAATCCTGATGCCACATTTTTCTTCATAGAACCCAGCTTCTCCAATTATTTGCTCAACATACAGGTAGAATAAGTATGGTGAAAGAACTGGAAAGTGATATGCAAAAATTGAAACAAGTCCTTTACCTCATGCCCTATACAAAAACGAACTTAACATGGAATAAAGACCAACATGTGAATCCCAAAATTATGAAGGTCATCAATGAAAAAATAGGGACAAATATGAGGTCTCTAATTCAGGGCATACACAGACTACCAAACATTTTGAAAATTATACAAACAAAAGTAGACTAAACAGATGATTGAGACATACTAAAAATTAAAACCTTATGTGCAGCAAAAGACTTCACCAGAAGAGTGAAAAGGGAACCCACAGAATGGGAAAAAAAAATCTTTTGCAATGACACATCAGATAAGGGACACATTTCTAAAATATATATGAAACTAAAACACCTCCACAAGAAAGACAAATAACCCAATTAAAAAATGGGCTCAGGACATTAATATGGGCATCCAACAAACATATGATGAAATGCTCACGATCACTAGCCATCAGAGATATGCAAATCAAAACAAAAATGAGATTAAATTTCACACCAGCAATAACAGAAAGATAAAAATAGTAGAGGACAATAAATGCTGGCGAGGGTACAGAGAGACTGGGACCCTCCTACATTGTTGGTGGGATTGCAAAATGGTCCAACCTCTCTGAGAGGCAAAATGGTGCTTCCTCAGAGAGTTGGAAATAGAAATACCTTTGTTGTGTTGTTGTTGTGAAGTGCCGTCGAGTCGGTTCCGACCCATAGCGACCCTGTACAGGGTTTCCAAGGGTGTAAATCTTTACAGGAATAGAAAGCCTCATCTTTCTCCCGC